ATATCTTTTCTTCATTACCGAGAGCATCAAGTGCAACGATGAGAGCCTCGAAACGGGCAGGCAGACCGTTGAGCACTGCCATGGCCATCTCCTTACCATCGATGTTTACGCTCATTGACTTGAGGATGGCTGCCAGCTGCTTGACACGATTGATGTATGCAAGCACCTTTTCACCGGAAAGCATCTTCACAGTGTAGAACTCACGACGTGCAGCTAGTTTGTTCAGCAAAGTGTGCCTCTCAAACACGTTGACAATAGCTTCCCACATCTCATGAGCAGTATCAACATCACGTACATGCTCAAGATGCTCATCTGATAGGGAGAGACCAATCAGTGCTTTAGCTTTACTGTCACCTCTGATCCACTTCTTACGCTCTTCCGCGCGTTCCTCACTTGGAACTCTTCCCTCAACGATGTATTGGTCAACATCACGTAGAGCAAGCAGAAGTTGTATTTTCTGCTTCCACACGTAGAAGTTGGAGTCCGTCAGTTTGTCGATTCTGATGGATCCTCCTCCTCCTTGATCTTCCATTTTAGTGCAAATAAACTTCAAGTATTCGAAAATCCGTTCGGGGATCCCAAGCCGTTAACCGATAGTCAACACAATGGCAAGCCCACCCGTCTAAGAAGTTCGATATGATTCCTATGAAGTTGCACTAGGAGAAATTTGCGAACAGATATGTGAATTTATTTGGATGAAATCCCTAACTATTCTGTTCACAAACTACCTTTAAGTGTGCGGCACCGTTCTCGTGGCACTTCAGGTGCCCGTGAGACTCAAAGACACGATTGCAAGGGATACAACGCGGAGTCTCCTTAGCGTTGGCAACTTGAATGCGATGAGACCTAGACTGAATGTGGTCGTAAAAGGCCTTCGCACTATTGCCACTAACGCCGCACACTTTACAATACCGCTTATACCGCGGGCACACCTTACGATTCCTCTTGCGCTCACGCTTGAACTGCTTATCCGCGAGAACAGCCGCTTTCCGAGCAGAAAGTCGATGCGTAGTTCTCTTTATTGGTGCGGGAACAGAGCGCGGAATACGAGGAATCCTATATGATGCGCAACTCGAGGACGGACCCGGAAGCGCGAGCCGAGGTGAAGGTTGATCCTCAGGCTCAAGCACCTCAACGGATACGACCTCCGATGTCCGAACCGTTCGACCGGTGACCAGCTTCCCAGGCGCAGAGCGCACCGGTACTAATTCCAGATCTAACACAACCCCGTAAAAACAGGTATTCACAATAAGGAATATGAAGATAATCGTCAGTAACAGATTTTGGAATTATTGCTCTTAAGAACCACCAAAACGTGCAAAGACAATCACTTAGATGTGTAGGAAATGGAAAGAAACTCAAAACTTACTTTGCATGAGAGAACGAAGAAAAACCAAATGCGAGATTGACGACGACGGCGGTAGCGGGAGCGGAAACGAAGACGAAGACCAAAGACAGAGACAGCAGCAAGAACCACAGCAAGAACAAAAGCCAAACCAAGAACGAAGACAACGAAGACAGCGGGGGCGATGACCAAAACCAATTCACACAAGAGAGCAAGAACGACAGCAGCAGCGAAAACCAAAACCAAGAACGACGGCAAGAACGAGAGCGACAACGACAGCGAGAAGACCAGCGGAAAGAACGACGACAAACGGCAGCGAAAACGACAGCGACAACGACGGCAGAAACAACGGAACGAGAACGGCAGACTCATGCAGTGAAACAACAGCGAGGGACTGGGCCCATAACCTGATGTTAAAATCGAGGTCTGAAAAATCTGCCGCAAAAATTCGTTAACCACTAGGCCACAGGGGCTGGCTTCTTGGTGTTCCCTTGGGCGCACTCACTATTTCAACAAATTCAAGTCGCATTTAGATTTAAATGGTACGCAGCACCAACTCACAACGGCGTACACCCCTGAACAAAACGGTGTTGCTGAACGTTTAAATCGAACTTTGATTGATCTTGTCCGCTCACTGCTTTCTCATAAACAGGTCAGTAAGCGATTCCGGGCCGAGGCTCTTGCCACTTCAGTATATGTACGTAATCGAGTTACTTCACGTGCTTTGCCCGTTAATACAACTCCGCACCACATTTGGATGAATTCTACTCCAAATGTTGGCCATTTGCGAGTATTTGGGTCAAAGTGTTGGTATACATTACCAAAATTAGAGCTCCGTAAGCTGGACTTGCGAGCGCGTGAAGCGATGTTTCTTGGGTACTCGCAATGCAGTAAGGCATACAAACTTTGGGACGGAGAGTTGAATAAAATTGTTTGTCACGGGATGTCAAGTTTGATGAATCGACATGTGGTATGCATGACATTCCTGCACACGAAAGTGATTCAATCAACTCTGATGTTGACGTTGTACTGCTCGATGGCGACAATGGGAATACAGCTGATACCCCAAATACGGATGAGGTCGGTTCTGAAGAGGATGAAGTTTCGGAGGAGGTTCTTGAAAACGATGGTGCTCATTCTGTAAGTGAGAATGATGCAGATGAAGATGATGTACCAACTGCCGTCGAAAGTCCGAATGTCACTCCTCCAACTCCGACTCCAGCTGTGCGAAGATCGTCTCGAGTCAGCAGACCTCCCGGATCATGGTGGAGGAGCAACTTTGCAGCTGCTCTTCTTTCACATGCGCATGTCGCTATTGAAGGTCCCAAGACTTTCAACCAGGCAACCAACGGTCCTAGAGCTGCATTTTGGCAGACCGGCATTGACAAAGAACTTGCCTCGCAGACCAAGAATCGGACTTGGAGACTTGTTCCTCGATCTGAGGCGTCAAACATCTTGACATCTAGATGGGTTTTCAATGTCAAGCAACTGCCTGATGCAAATGGCAATATAGTTGAAAGTGCAAAAGCCAGACTTGTTGCTCGTGGATTCCAGCAAGTGCAAGTTCTTGACTATACTGAGACATATGCCCCTGTCATAAAGTTTACCACTATTCCTCTACTTCTTGCCTTAGTTGCTCATTACGACCTTGAACTTCATCAGATGGATGTCGTGACTGCGTTTTTGAACGGCGACTTGGATGAAGACATCTACATGGAGCAACCCGAAGGGTGCATTGACAAAAGCAAAAGTGACCACGTGTGTAAACTTTTGAAAGCACTTTACGGTCTTAAACAAGCACATCGTCAATGGCATGCCAAAGTGGATGATTTCTTAATTGGTGAATTGGGATTCGAGACTTCGCGTAGTGATCCTTGTCTCTACATTAAACGCATCAGTAACACTATCATGCTGATTGCACTTTATGTCGATGACTTGTTACTCGCTGGTAGTGATATCGATGCCATCAAATGGATGAAGGGGGAGCTTAATATACGGTTTGAGATGAAAGACCATAGTGAAGCAAAAGTCTGCATTGGTCTCGAAATTCAAAGGGATCGCAGCGCCAAGACTTTGAGTCTCACTCAAACTAAGTATGCATCAAAAGTGCTTGAGCGTTTTCGAATGTCATATTGAAAATGTGCGACCACATGCTGTTATCTGGAAAGTGCAAAATCGAGTGACACGTATACATGACTCGACGGTCCGGACCCTCACCCCATATCACCACATGACACGTGTAAAGTCTCAGATTTTGGGGTTCTGGGGACGAAAGTGGACTTTTGGAGGGTTATGCAAATTTGCATAAATGCCGAAAATTTGCATTTGGCCCGAACTGTTATAGGGCTACACAGGCAATACTGCAAATCTATTGCGTGTCGGTTCGAATGCTGCAATTCTGTTGGTCTGTTATTGTCCACTTATATGCAGTCATGCTGGTGATATATCTTGAATGAGCGGTATACGTTTTAATTACATCATTTTGGGGGTTTCAAGTTGTTCACCATGGTTGTAATGGGTAATTACGTGTGGCCTTGGCGCTGGACACTTGTGTGCGGTGTACACATGTACACATCGCCAGGTTGCTGCGTGTACGTACACTTGTACACGTCGCCTACATACGGTCCGGCGCGTGTCCGAGCACAGTACATGTGAATTAAAAGTACAACAAGTATTTCTCGCAAGAGACATGTACTTACGTGAGTATTCAGTGTACGCGTCACGCTGTATGCGACCCTTGCATCAGCATGCGCCGGTGTACTACACTCTCGTCAGCATGTGACGTTGTACTGTGCTCTCGTTATGGTGCGCCGTTGGATGCAAGTTGATGACAGTACTCGTGTGATTCACATCGGATATCACGTGAGATGTGTAGAAAGTCTGGATGCACATTGTTGCTATCCGTGATAGTTGTCTGGCAGTGTGTACCGAAATTAGTAAGGTACGAAACAAGGGCATGTATGGGGACTGAGATAAGACAGGACTTTGCGCTGTTGGAAATAGAGAGATGCCAAGTTGTTCATTGTGCAAGAATATATTCTGTCATGTCTGGATGCAGATTAGTAAGGTGTGAAACGATTGCATGCATAGGGCCATGGTTTACAGTCACTCGAAATGTGTAGAAACTGTTGTGCACTGATAGTCAATAGTCAATTCGTAAGGTGGAAATAGAACAGTGTGGACGGGCCAGAAGAGGACCGCGCTTGGTCGTGCATATGGTGAGTACGGTTTACCAGGTGCCAAAGTAATGGGATAGTGTAACACTCAAAGTGTATAAGTATCGCCGAAAGACGGCTCCAAGTAAACCTCGGTACCAACTCCTTCACTCACACACATCAACCTGCCCTCCTTCTTTCCCTTGCCCCTCCGAACCTACCATTACGTTATGGGCCCAGATTTACGCTACCATTCGTGAGTTCGATTCTCACCGGGTGCACTTGGGCGGCGCAATGTTTGTTTGTTTGTTTGTGTCACACTTGGGAACGTACCTGCCTGTGTGTTGTGCAGTGACCCGCGCCGTGTGTTTGGCGTCCCTTGGTCGAGGGGGAGTGTTGAAATAGTGAGTGCGCCCAAGGGAACACCAAGAAGCCAGCGCCTGTGGCCTAGTGGTTAACGAATTTTTGCGGCAGATTTTTCAGACCTCGATTTTAACATCATGTCAACGTGTAACCGCTCTCTGACTCCAATGGAACAAGGTCACACAACCACGATTTCAACCGAAAACGACTCCGAAACAAATGTACCGTATCGTGAGGCAGTGGGATCCCTGATGTACTTGATGGTTGGCACTCGTCCAGACTTGGCATATGCGATTGGAAAGCTTTCTCAACATTCTGCCAACCCATGTGAGTCACACTGGGCAGGTGTGAAACGGGTAATGCGATACGTGCAAGGGACTCGAAACTTAGGAATCGTGTTTGACAATAAATCTAAATCGCCGGAGTTGTTCGGCTTCAGTGATGCTGACTGGGCCGGTTGTTCAGACTCTCGCAAGTCGACCAGCGGATATGTTTTCAAGTTCTGCGGTGGAGCGATCAGTTGGAGTTCCCGGAAACAGACTGTGGTTGCAACTTCGACGTGTGAAGCTGAGTACATTGCACTATGTGAAGCGTGTAAGGAGGCGACTTGGTTGCGTCAAGTGGTTGCTGATGTTCTTGGACTTGATTCCGATCCCACGATTGTGATGGGGTGTGACAATGCAGGGACTATTTCGTATGCACAGAATGAATCGGTCAACCGTCGTAACAAACATGTTGATGTGAAATACCACTATGTACGAGATGCAATTAAGAGAAACGTCATTTCTTTGTCACATTGCCGGACCACTTCCATGCCTGCAGATATCCTGACGAAAGCACTTGGGCGAGTTCTGTTCCAGAAGTTTGTAGAACTTCTAGGGCTTGCAGTAGCTACTTCTGGTAAAAGCATGTGATCGAGGGGGAGTGTTGTAATTCTACGACCACATGCTGATATGCATGACACACGACGACAGGTATGACACGTGTAAAATGAAAACACTCCGCGTGACGAGCTGAGCAAGGTTGATTTTCAACGTGTACACGTGTGCTTTCTGTACACGGTTGTACTCTACAGTACTTCAGGAGCACGTTTGGTTTTCAACGTGTACACGTGTGAAATATATAGAAAGGTCAGCGGGGCAGAGGGAAGAAGGATGGTTGAAGGTTGCTGGTGGTTGACGGGAAAAGAAGTTGATGCCTTTTTACTCTTGGTCGCCAACTATTGGCGCTACTTATACTCTTCGAACTACATACAATACGAGCCATTAGGGCTGGTCACGTGACTCTCCTTCTTGCACTCGTTGATAATCAAGTGACTCTCCCTGTTGCACTCTCGGTTGATAATCAAGTGACTCTCCTACTTCCACTCTCGGTTGATAATCAAATGACTCTCCTTCTTGCACTCTCGGTTGATAATCAAGTGACTCTCCTACTTCCACTCTCGGTTGATAATCAAATGACTCTCCTTGCACTCTCTCTTGCTAATAATTTGGGACCGTTTGAGAGTCAATAATATCTGAATGTACTGTACTGTAGATTACAGATTTTACACTACGATTAATAACCACTGTGGCACATACGTCATACGTGTCACACACGTGTCAAATCGAGAAAAATGAAACATGTTCAGAATGTACTGTAGAGTGCCACGGGGTACATAACTTACACGTGTCAACACCAAAATTGAAACATGCTCGGAAATAATAGGAAAGTGCAACCGTGTACAAATATGACACGTGTCCACCTTGAAGACCAAACATCCTGAGAATGCTCTTGCAAGCATTTTAGGTTTCGTCGACGTACACGTGTAATATCTGTCAGGCTTGGAGCTTAGCATATGGTCGAAGATTTCCAACACTCCCCCTCGATCACATGCTTTTACTGGACACTGCAAGCCCCAGAAGTTCTACAAACTTCTGGAATAGAATTCGCCCAAGTGCTTTGGTTAAGATATCTGCAGGCATCGAAGTGGTCGGACAATGCGACAAATACACAATGTTTCTCTTAATAGCATCTCGTACGTAGTGGTATTTTACATCAACATGTTTGTTGCGACGGTTGATCGATTCATTCTGTGCAAACGAAATCGTCCCTGCATTGTCACACCCCATCATGATCGTGGGATCAGAATCAAGTCCGAGGACATCAGCAACAACTTGACGCAACCAGGTCGCCTCCTTACACGCTTCACATAGTGCAATGTACTCAGCTTCACACGTCGAAGTCGTACTCCACAGCCTCAACGTGAACTCCAACTGATAGCTCCACCACAGAACTTGAAAACATATCCGCTGGTCGACTTGCGAGAGTCTGAACAACCGGCCCAGTCAGCATCACTGAAACCGAGCAACTCCGGCGATTTGGATTTATTGTCAAACACGATTCCTAAGTTTCGAGTCCCTTGCACGTATCGCATTACTCGTTTTACACCTGCCCAGTGTGACTCACATGGGTTGGCAGAATGTTGGGAAAGCTTTCCAATGGCGTATGCCAAGTCTGGACGAGTGCCAACCATCAAGTACATAAGGCAACCGACTGCCTCACGATACGGTGCCTTTGTTTCGGAGTCGTTTTCGATAGAATTCGTGGTTTTGCGACCTTGTTCCATTGGAGTCAGAGAAGGGTTACAAGTCGACATTTTAAAACGGTCAAGCACATTTAATGCATACTTAGTTTGAGTGAGACTCAATGTCTTGATAGTGCGATCTCTTTGAATCTCAAGACCAATGCAGACTTTTGCCTCACTAAGGTCTTTCATCTCAAACCGTTTGTTAAGCTCCCCCTTCATCCATTTGATGGCATGGATATCACTACCAGCGAGTAACAAGTCATCGACATAAAGTGCAATTAGCATGATAGTGTTACCAATGCGTTTAATGTAGAGGCACGGATCACTACGTGAAGTCTCAAATCCCAATTCACCGAGTAAGAAATCATCCACTTTGGTATGCCATTGACGAGGTGCTTGTTTAAGACCGTAAAGTGCTTTCAAAAGTTTACACACATGATCACTTTTGCTTTTGTCAACGCAGCCTTCGGGTTGCTCCATGTAGATGTCTTCATCCAAGTCGCCGTTCAAAAACGCAGTCACGACATCCATCTGATGAAGTTCAAGGTCGTAATGAGCAACTAAGGCAAGAAGTAGAGGAATAGTGGTAAACTTTATGACAGGGGCATATGTCTCAGTATAGTCAAGACCCTGCACTTGCTGGAATCCACGGGCAACAAGTCTGACTTTTGCACTTTCAACTATATTGCCATTTGCATCAGGCAGCTGCTTGACATTGAAAACCCATCGAGATGTCAAGATGTTTGACGCCTCAGATCGAGGAACAAGTTTCCAGGTCCGATTCTTAGTCTGTGATGCAAGTTCTTTGTCAATGCCGGTTTGCCAGAATGCAGCTCTAGGACCGTGGGTTGCTTGTTTGAAAGTCTTGGGACCTTCAATAGCGACATGCGCATGTGAAAGAAGAGCAGCTGCAAAGTTGCTCCTCCACCATGATCCGGGAGGTCTACTGATTCGAGACGATCTTCGTCCAGCTGGAGTCGGAGTTGGAGGGGTGACATTCGGAGTTTCGACGGGAGGTGATACATCATCTTCATCATTCTCACCTACAGAGTGAGTGTCCTCGTTTTCAATAACCTCCCCTGAAATTTCTTCCTCTTCCGACCCAACCTCATTAGCATTTGGGGTATCGGCTTCATTCTCATTGTCGCCACCGAGCAATACAACGCCAACGTCAGAGTTGATTGAATCTTTTTCATGTGCAGGAATGTCATGCATCCCACATGTCGATTCATCAAACTTGGCATCTCGTGAAACAACAACTTTACTCAACTCTCCGTCCCAAAGTTTGTATGCTTTACTGCATTGCGAATAACCGAGAAACATCGCTTCACGCGCTCGCAAGTCAAGCTTACGGAGCTCTAATTTCGGTAATGTATACCAACACTTTGACCCAAATACTCGCAAATGGCCAACATTTGGAGTTGACTTCATCCAAATGTGATGGGGAGTCGTGTTAACTGGCAAAGCCCGTGAAGTAACTCGATTGCGTACATATACTGCAGTGGCAAGAGCCTCTGCCCAGAATCGTTTACTGACCTGTTTATGAGAAAGCATGGAACGGACAAGATCAATCAAAGTTCGATTTAAACGTTCAGCAACACCGTTTTGTTCAGGTGTGTAGGCAGTGGTGAGCTGGTGCTGGGTACCATTTGAATCCAAATATGACTTGAATTCTGTCGACAAGTACTCTCCCCCTCGATCAGTGCGAAGCACCTTCACGTTGCGACCAGTGTGCGTTTGGGCAAACTGTTCATACAACTTGTATTTTGCAAAGGCCTCAGATTTATTTCGCATCGTGTACACAACAACCCAGTTCGAGTGATCATCTACAAATGTAATGAAGTATCTCGAACCACCAATGGATTGTACTTCGAGCGGACCGCAAACGTCAGAATGTACCAAGTCAAGACAGTTCTGTGCTCGAGACGATGATCGCTGTTTCGGGATTACTGATCGCGTTGCTTTGCCGAACACACACGCAGGACAAACGAGAGAGTGATTGTCAGACTTTCGATTCATTGCTCTGATCACATCGCTTTGACGAACATTGATGCCACTTACCACATTATTGTGAATCATTGATGCGATTCCTTGTACGTTAACATGGGCCATTCGTTCATGTAGCGTCTGCAAGGTAACTACATGAGCAGAGAAAGTTTCATTCATGACATCAAGTATGAATAAATCCCCAACTTGACTAGCTGTGGCAACTAGAGTTGGTCCTGCAGTAACGATGCATTTGTCTTTTTCAAATGACACTTGCAAGCCCTTTGAAACGATTTGGCTAACAGACAGAAGCGAGTATCCGAAATCAGGGACATGCAAAACGTTGGACAATTTGCAAGGATGTGGACTACCATTGACGTTCAACATGAATTCTACCTCACCACGACCAGCGACATTGGCTCTAGCCTTCGTGCCCATCTCGACTGATCCAGATTGCATCTATTCATAAGTAACGAACAAAGAGCGATCAAATGTAATGTGGGCACTGCAACCGGAATCCACAAGCCATGACCCTGCGTTCACTGCCTTCTTTTCGGGAGAAGAAGTCGAAAGCAGGCATGTAAAGTCGCTTTCAGCAAAGGCAGCAGTAGAAGTTTCATCTCGAGATACGAATGCACTTGGCTTCATGCCGGGGTTGCGGGACCGGAACCCGTCTGGCGGTGCTGGTCGGCGCCCATTCACATCCTTGCCCCAGCAACGTGCTGCGGTGTGTCCATGTCGATTACAGTTCGTACATCTCATATCACGTCGAATAGGCATGCGATTGACAAGTGCAGGTGCGTGGGGTGAAGTAGTAGAAGCAGTCTTCATGCTCTCTCGTTGTTCCTCTTGCAGCAGACGACTCTTCACAAACTCGAGTCCAAACACTTTATCCTCATTGCCAAGTGCGTCAAGTGCAACAATCAAGTTATCGAATCGTGGAGGCAAGCCATTCAACACAGCCATTGCAATTTCTTTATCGTCAATCTCAACACTCATTGACTGCAATCTGGCAGCAAGTTGCTTCACACGATTGATGAACACGAGCACTTTCTCGGATGGGAGCATGGAAACAGTGTAAAAGTCGCGACGGGCGGAAAGTTTGTTGAGCAAAGTGTGACGCTCAAACACATTCACAATCGCCTCCCATGTCTCTTTCGCACTGCTACACCCTCGCACATGTTGCAAGTAGTCATCAGAAAGCGTGAGTCCGATGACTGCCTTTGCTTTCGCATCACCACGAATCCACTTCCTGCGATCATCTGAGGTCGCATTTTCCGATATATCATCAAAAACGTATTGATCGACATCTCGGAGAGCAAGCAGTAGCTCGATTTTCTGCTTCCAGATGTAAAAGTT